TCATCAAATTCAATTCTTACAGGATGCAACTAAAATTGTTGTACTTAGTAATGTATGTTGAGAATGAGATATGATATAGTTGAAGTTATTTTTGTTGTTATTGTAGGGTGAAATGGTTGACATGGGAACTTATGAAGAGTTACTTCACTCTTCAGCATCATTTGCTCATTTACTAGAAGATATTAATCAACATAATCAGAAAAAGGAACAAGAACCAGAACCAGAAGGTCAAACGGTAATGAGACGACGCATATCAACAATGGTTTCTGTAAGTTCAGAAAAAGAAGAAGATATATCATCACTTCCAACAAACATCGAAACAAAGGAAGAAGGAACAGTGAAATGGAGTGTTTACGTATCATATCTTCGTGCTGGTATTGGTGTATGTATTGGTATGCTACTGATTCTGGTTGTATTTTCGGCTCAACAAGCAACATCGATATATGTAAACTGGTGGTTAGCTGAATGGAGCAATGATGAAGGTCATCGGCATCATGTTTATACTAATTGCACGAATGTTATTGATGAAAAGACAAATAAAATACGTCTGATGAATGAAACTGAATGGAATGTACATCGACATAATCGTTTTTATACATTTTGTGGTTAGTTCATAAATAACATTATATCTGATGTATATGTCATACTTATGCATAGGTATTGTGGGAGCACTTTTCTTAATTACAATCTTAAGAGCTATCATTGCAGAATTTATATGTTTGAATGCTGGAAGAGTATTACATAATAAGTATTAATATTCAATTATAGTTCTAGCTTATATTTTAATATTCTCTTTGTCACAATCAGGATGTTTCGTCGATTGATCAGATGTCCAATACAGTTTTTCGATCTGAATCCAGTTGGTATGTTAATTGTTTTTGGACTAGATGATTATACATCTTTACACAATTTTATTGTAATTAGGTCGAATTCTCAATCGATTTGCAAAAGATGTAGCCATTATGGATGACACCCTTCCATTGAATATGTTCGATTTTCTACAAGTATATAGAATTATATTTTAATTATATATTTTGATTGAAATACGAAATATTTCTATATATATAGTGCCTATTTTATGTACTTGGAACAATTGCTCTAATAGGAATATTTAATCCATGGGCATTTATACCAGCTATATTTGTTGGTAGTGGAATGTTGTTTTTGAGATATCGATTTGCTCGATGTTTAAGAGATCTCAAACGAATTGAAGGTATTACAAGAAGTCCTGTCTATTCACACCTTACATCGACTATACAAGGACTCAAAGTTATACGATCTTACCATGCTGAGAAGATTTCTTCTGATGAGTTTCTTCATCATCTTGATGATAACACACGTGCTAATTATTTACTACTTACAACTAATAGATGGGCGGCAGTTCGCTTTGATTGGATTGCTTTTATCTTCATCATTATGGTCACAATATTAGCCATGATTGTTCGCCTTGTGCAACAAAAATTTTCAGCTGTGGAAATTGCTCTGACACTCTCCTACAGTCTTAATCTAATAGGTCTTCTACAATGGACAATTAGGTTTGTGTCATATAAAAAAACATGTCATCAACTTGCACTTTTTCTAACCACATCTAATTCATTTTAGACAATCAGTTGAAGTTGAAACACAAATG